TTTTTTAGACCCTGGTCTTCAAAGATGGCCAACCTTTGAACATGATCCTCGATGATGGAGGTGACCTCACCAATATGGTTCATCAGAAATATCCACAGTACATTCCTGGAATCCGTGGACTCTCGGAAGAGACCACTACTGGTGTACACAACCTCGCTAAAATGCTCGAAAAAGGAGAGCTCAAGGTAGAAGCTTTTATGAATTTAGGAAGTATCATTCTCTTTAAAAATTTCTTCAGAATGAACTTTAGTTTTGATGAAAAAAGGCATGTAACTCAACGTTTGAGATTTATTCAAGTAGGTTGTCTATTTGTAAAATAAATGCGCGCACTTGATCCTAAACGCGTTATGAGGATGTACAGACTCGGAAAACTCAGCTCTAACTCTAGCCAGCTGTAGCAAGGTTACTTTTCTGCAGTCAGATTAGAGCCTTTACATATGTACAGTCAACATTTTGTTGCCTTTGGATAACGGTATCAGCAATTCGAATAAGAAGTCTTTGTTGGAAAAATTCACTGAGTTCACTGTTTTATCGTATCTTCATTTTATTTATTTTAAGATCCCAGCCATCAACGTGAACGATTCCGTCACTAAGTCTAAGTTTGATAACTTGTATGGAATTCGCGAGTCGCTTCCTGATGGCATCAAGCGTGCAACTGATGTCATGCTTGCTGGAAAGGTACTTTTTCTAGTTTGTTTTCCACCTCTGCATCTCAAGTCAGTGAGTATCTCGCTTGATCTTGTAGGTCTCGGTTGTTTGCGGATACGGAGATGTTGGCAAAGGTTCCGCCGCCTCTCTGAAAGCTTTCGGCTCACGAGTCATCATTACCGAGATTGATCCCATCATCGCACTACAAGCCGCTATGGAGGGTTACGAAGTGACCACTCTCGAGGAGGCTGCCCCTAAAGCTAACATTGTCGTTACGACCACTGGTTGCAAAGATGTTGTGCGAGGACCTCATTTGGAGTTGCTGCCCAATGACGCTATCGTCTGCAACGTTGGACACTTCGACTGTGAAATTGATGTTAAATGGCTCAATGAGAATGCTGTCAGCAAGGAAAACATTAAGCCTCAGGTATGGTTAGATTCTTACAGTTACAGATTTGTTTATTAACTTCTTGTGATCTTTGAAGGTCGACCGATATCTTTTGAAAAATGGCCGTCACATCATCCTTCTTGCTGAGGGACGACTTGTAAACCTTGGTTGTGCCACGGGACACCCATCATTCGTCATGTCAAACTCTTTCACCAACCAAGTGCTTGCCCAGATCGACTTATTTACCAAATACGGTACTAAGGACCAGTATCAAATTGGACTGTACATGCTTCCCAAGACCCTGGACGAGGAAGTAGCAGCTCTCCATCTCGATAAACTCGGTGTTAAGCTCACCAAGCTCACCGACGAACAAGCGGCTTATCTTGGTGTTCCCAAAAACGGACCTTTCAAGCCTGACCATTATAGGTACTAAGCGCTTCGTGATTATCGACCAGTATTTTGATTTTCTTGTTTGTTTAATTATTCAATCAATCGATTAATCAGATGATTGCTATTGTTACATTTTACTTTTTGTTACTGAATGTGATAAGAGGTAACCAGTGGTTTGAATTTGTTGTTATAGACTAATCCGTTGTTTAGAATAGTTTCACTATCAAATGCGGGCGTGTTTCAGAGAGCGAATTTCTATATAAATTGTCTCATGTACTTGATTTCTTTGCATGCCATGTGTTGGAAGTAATTAGAAAAAGAAATTGCGATGTTAACAATTTGTTACATTTAGTGATAATGTGTTTGAATTCATGCAATTATGGTACAAGCGCAAAAAAAAATTGGTTTTTTGATTTAGGCAATTTTTTTATTGCGTTATTCAGAAAAACACGTTTGTGTGAGTTTGACGCAAATTGTTCAAGATAAGGGATATCAACGCCTTCTGAGACTGAAAAGAAAAACAAAAATAAAGCGAGAAAGGCAAGAAGATTAACGAAAACTGATATGATGGTGAGAACTCACAAGTTGGTTTACAAACATCATCCTTGGCCTCGTTGACATGGTTGAAAACATGAGTAGGGCTATTATTGCTGAGCTGAATTATCGAAAGCATTATTTACTTTGTAAAAAACCGTAGTTTCAAAA